GAGGAAGCTCGGTCCAGGAGAAAACAGCACAGAAACAGGACCCAAATTGTTCCTGGTGAGATGCTTTCCCAATGAGGACCTCCGGAGAGTTATGATCCCTCAAAATAATCTCAGCTAAGACACACCTAACACTTAGACCTGTACTAACTCATTTAGTCCTCATCTCAACCCTATGCAGTGGGCACTACTGTTATTCACATTAGACAGATGAGAAAAGGTCACACGTTGTAGATGCTCAGCCAGGTCTTGAATCCAGGGAGCAGTGCCCCAGAGTTGGTGTGACTGACCACCACTCTCATATGCTTCTCAGAAACACAGGATAAGTTAGACAATCTGCACTCCTAGCTGATCTGATCCCTTACAAATTCACCAATTCACTTTGGTATAACAATTCATGTTATTATTTTAGTCTTCCAATAACCCATCTGGCACTCCTCTAAACTCCCAAGCTAAAGAGGCTTCTAGTACTGTCAATGGAGCTACTGGACGTTTCAGTCTGTTCTTGAGAACTACCTGCCAGGATTTAGCAAATCTGAGAAAAGGAGTAATGTATAATTGGAACAACAATGAGAAAGGCCTTGTGTCAAGAAAGGATGTCTTCTATTTGCATGTGATGGGACAACAATTTGAAATAATAAATGCTGTTTCTTCTCCTTGCCCATGGCTTTTCCTGGAGAGAGGCTCCACCACAATTTGGTCCAATGAGGTGATGTCAGGATGGGACAGATAACAAAGCAGCAAACAGTTAGTGTTTAAGAGTAGAAAGCACAGATGCAGGTGAAAGATAGGATAGACTTGAAAGGGAATGAGAATAGACAGAAAACATTATGACCCCTCCTCAGATCCCACACAGAGCTTCCTAGCAGGGGAGAGAAAGGATCCAGGCTGGGGAGGAAGTGAGAGATGTAAAAGTATCTTTGGGGGCTGCCACCTGAAGTGCCCCTGGACAGGTCCTCCTCAGTGTGTGAGAGGCTGGTGATAAAAGCCCCTGGGAGACAGAAGAGCACAGAGTCGACAGAAGCTCTGCTGCCCTTCCT